ATTGCGGTGGGCCGGCATGACCTGTTCCTTGCTCTATTCTTCCACATTGTTTCCCAGGCAACTGCAAGTTTTTTTTTTTTGTTGTTTTTTTTTTTTTTTCTGACCTACAAAAAGTTGCTACTCCTGTAACCAAATCCCGTTTCGTCGGCGAGGCACTTGTTACCATGGCAGAGGCTCGCCGCGCTATTTATATCCTCTCTCGCTCTCTAACTGGCACCGAGCGTTGATTAATGGAAGAGAAAGTCTCACTCGCTCTCCGATAAATAGAAAAAAAAAGGCCGGAGACGATGCGCCTTTTGAGAGTGGACGAACTGCGGTCACAAAAAAAAAAAACGTCATGTTCGTGTTGCCGCCATGAATCCATGACTGGAATTTCTTTGTTTTTTTTTTTGTTTTTGTTTTTTTTGCCAAGCAAAGACACGCTGAGCTTCTGGCGCTCGGAAAACCGTACGTTTCCCCTCACAGTGGGAGCCCTAAACAAAGCGTGCATCGGAGAATGCGCCGCGTGAAAGGAAGTCAGCAGTTCACGTTTTTGCCGATTTTTAAAATGTACCAAATAGCACTTTAACCCTTTCATGCACCCTGTAACTTGAAAACATAATAAGCAGTCCACTGTAGTAACCGCCTGTACCCGAGAGGGTTAAATGTCTTGAATTATGATTTTTTTTTTTTTCAACCGTCGTGGTTTGTAATGTTTCATCATCACGTCTAGGCATCACTTACTGTCGTTACATGTGATAGGAATGATCCTTTCACACTTTCGGTGACATATCTCGAAGCAAACTCTGACCTCTTTTTGTTTTGCGTCGTGAGCCTAGCGGACCGCGGCTCGGCTCGGCTCTGGCCCGACGCGAGTGGCTTCCATCAGGCCAATTCAAACAGACGTTTGACCCCAGACATTTGCCTAATGTGTTTTTGTTGTGTGGACTCCCCGGCTTCGCAAACGTCTCCGTGGCCTCAACTACTGCGGGGCGGGGGGGGGATGTTTGCCGGTGATTCGCGTTTGCTTTGAGACGCCCCCGAGGAGTCTGATGCGGAAAGGGCCAGACTCTGTACACACGGCGGCAGCCGGAGGGGGGCCCTGAAAGCTCGTCTGACCCCAACTGCGCAAAGCGAGGCAGCTGTGCGGACGAGACCGCGGGCGGGGAGTGGCGCATTGCTGGACGTCCCGGGTGCACAAATCAGGACCCTGGCCTCCCGACAGTTGGGCCCGGCCGGCCCCCCCCCGACAAATGCTGCCACGAGACGGGTGTGTTGACAATTTATTACCAAAACCTATTGGTATTTAGGGTGCAGCTGATTCCGTTTTAGTGGGCATTCCCCACTCGACGCTAGCGCCGGTTCACCCGGAGAAGTTGTTAGGCGTTGTAATATTTGCTGAGCTCAGCAAGACGTCCCTCGGCGTCCAGGCAAAGTTTCGTGTTCTCACTGTTTTTCTTTCTTAAGATTGCACCGGGGACACAAAGCTTCCTCCAACAATGAATTCCACGGGTGTTTTTTTTTATTTTTACGTAGCGCACCCCCTGGCCCCTGTTGCACATCCAAATTTGAGCCTTAGCAATGCACGGAGCATTCTGTTGCTTGAATTGTAAAAATGCCACTCAGTTGGAGAAGATTTTGTCCTTCAAACTTGGCTCTGATGATTTAAGAAGCCCAATGCTTCAGAACCCATTAAATGGCGCTTCACGAAGCATATTGCGAAAGCAGCCAGAGAGTTTTTAGACAAAGAAGTGGAATGGCCGAGTCAATCAGCTGACCTGGGCAGATTTACGACGACGAAAGCCACGATGACTCACCGCATGGCATTTGTCACATAACTTTGAACAAATACCGCATTTTCTGCACTATAAGGCGCTTCGGAGCATAAGGCACACCTTCAATGAATGGCCGATGTTAAAACTGCTTTCATATAGGAGGCGCACCGCATTATAAGGTGCGTAAAATGAAAGCTACCATAGGGGCTGAGGTTGCGTTCTGCATCCACTAGATGGAGCTACGCCAAAGGGAATACAACACAATACAATGCAGCTTTATTTAGCGAGCGCTTCCACAACCGCTACAGCGGTAACAAAGCGCATTTACGGAACATTTAAAATACTACGGCCAAGAAATCGGAATATTGATCATGGATAAGGCACATCGGATTATAAGGCAGCTTTTGAGAAAACGGAATGTTTTTTAGGTGCGCCTTATAGTGTGGAAAATATGGCAGTCTGTTTATCCATTCCGATATTTGGAAGAATAAAATTCTGATCGCCGATTGATCGGACGATTCATTTAAAAACAATGTCATGAATAAAGTCATGCTTACAACAATCAAGATCGAAATTACAGGAAGAACATTTTACAGTATTTTGTCGTATGTTATTTGTTTAACGTTACAGAAAAGTCGGTAAGAATCTGACGTTTTTTTTGGGGCGTCGGTCAATAATTTTAGCTGATAGTGTCATGCGTTAAAAAAATTTAATTCAGACTGATTTTTAGTTTCCTCGCAGTTCTGCGCCTCCAGATTCACAAATCGTGTTTTCAATTTGACTTTTTTGGGGGTTTTTTCTCGCCATTAAGACCCCTTTTAGTTCATTTGTGTATGGTGCGTACATCACGCATGTCCCATTGATGGCTCATTGGGAGTAATAGCTCTCCACAGTGTGCTTGTTTAGCCTTCAGAGAGCCGTCAGAGAGCAATAAACTATCTGTCGAAGATCCTTCCCCGAGTGCGGCTCATCGGCCGTAAAGTACAATCTGTAGTCTCATCAGTGATAAATGTGTCATCTACGGCTCAACACTGTTCCGGAAGGTACGAATCAAAACATCATCTGCTTGTTGTGTTTGGAAGTTAAATTGTCAGGATCCATTTTCTGCTTTTTTTTGTTCCACGTCGGAATGAAGCGTTTCAGTTTTAATCGCTGCCAATTGAGCCGCGTGACGCTTGCGTTTTTCGGGTTGGCCACTTGAAAGCACTTGACTTCGAAATTACCTGCGGGGGATCTGTCTGCACTCTCGGGATTCATCTTTCTGTGCTTCGTGACAGCTTATCAAATCGAAGATCATCCGTGGACTCTTACGACGGCTCGGAAGGCAACAGACTGAAATCAAGAGTGTGTATCGGGTCCAAAATGGACCCGCCTTCATCCTGCTTGGAAGTCAACGTATCCATTGGAAATGGTTCACTTCACTTATTTGTGCACTTAAAAAATATAGAACACTCATTTTTTTAAACGTTTTTGGTTCGCTAACCTTTTCAGGGACAGCGGTCACTACAGTGGACAGCTAATCATGTTATCGGATTTCAGGGTGCATGAAAGGGTTAAACACGTCAAGGTTAAATTGAGCCAAGGCCGTGATTGCTATTTCTGAAAAGAAAAAAAAAAAAAAGAATTTGCTCATTCAATTTTTAAACTTTACACCGTATCAGTATGACCAAACAGAGAGCAATAGCCGTCAAGAGCGGCCGACGACTTCGCACCGGTCTTGAATTTCCCTTTGTCATCAGTGCCGCTTTACTGAACCAAGGATGTGTCACCCTGTATTCAGCTTTTATTTTCGTTCGGAAGCGGCCCGAGAATATCCCGGGCCTCGCACTTACTGAGCGTTGCAGACAAATTGCTAGTCCTGTGACTTTTTCTGCCAAAGCGAAGAGCTTGCGCTTTCGCCTTTAACCAGGTAATGTCTCTGTAAATATATCACCGTTGTTATTCCATTCCAACTTGTCCGGAGTTCAGATTTCGCTTCCCGGTGTGGGACGGCAAAATCATACCAAAAAAAAAAAAACTTGATGTGTGTGACACTGAGCAAACACTCAAGTGTTTCTAAGCAAACAAATTTGTGGCATATACATAAGAAAACATTGCAACCGTGTCAGCGGGAATGGAGTGTTCAGGTTAATCATACCCCACACCATTTTTGATCTGCGTGTCACGCCGTTTTTTTTTTTTGTTTGTTTTTTTTAACCTCATTTGCACAATTTATGTAAACACTGTCAAGGCGAGTCAGCTCCAACACGACCGTGTGCACGTTTTTATTTGGGGTGGTGGTGCGGTGGAGGTGTGGGAGAGGGGGGTGGCACGCAAATATATATATATATTTTTTTTTAATGTGCAAAAATATTGACTAGTTTGATGTCAACGTGCAGATTCTTATTTGAAAAATATGTCCAAGTATGGAATCAAGAACGAATCAGCGGCAAATATTTTCACTTGTTCATTTGGCAGATTTGATTTTGTTTCACATCCACTGGGGAAAGGCTGTTCTTACCCATAGCGGATTTATTTGTGTCGTGTCAATCTGCGTATCAGCAGAATGAAGGCGCAACAAAATGGAACAGACGCAACCCGTCAAAGAGAAAAAAAAAAAAAAAAGTCAGAAAAATGATACAGAACAGGAGTGCGCCGGGTTGACTTTAAATTTGCGGATTTATGCGGATGAAAAGAAAAGAAAAACGTATTTTTTTTTTAAAGGGGGGGGGAAACAACCTCTTCATCTTGTCATTAAAAAAAATATATCCCCTAATCCAAATAAAGTCATCACCTTGAATCGAAATAGAAGCAAACAACAGCATTTTTTTCCAGACTGTACAATACGCTAGCAAGAACGGAAAATCACCAAAATGAGTGGCCGGTACTCTGGACGTAATAAACAGTTAGGCCTAAGTACAGCGCAAAGCCGAAAATAATTCTTCCGCCGAACCGCCGCTGGAACAGCGGGAGAGTGTAAAAGCAGCACCTCATTTGGCCGCTGTGCCGCTTGGTTACTTGAGAGCTCCCATCAGTCAATTGAGTTAGCGAGAGCCTGTTCGTCGGAGCGCAATAAACGCCCAACTGGCCCCGCGGAAACCGGAGCCTACGGATTCACCTGCGGGATGCCGAGACAGATGCAGAGGGGGTTTGGCTGCATCCTTCGCGGATCTAACTCATTTCTTTCTTTAGTCTAATTCCTTGTTGACTGAGATTGGTCATGCAGATTCGTAAAACACCCCAAAAAAATTGATTTTTTTGTTTTACCAGATAGTTGGTGGTTCCGAAGATGATCCTAACCGATGATCCGGTGGTGCGAGGCGTGCTTCCTCAAAAGCCCGCTGTCCCCGAAGATCATCCAAAGCAATCTGTCCCGTTGCGTGAAGCGTGTTGCCATATTCACTTTCCCCTTCGCGATCTGTTCAGAAATCAAGCCAACAAGTAGAGAAGGATCACAATTAATATTGTTCACGGGGATTCAGTGATTGTCCTCTGAATACTTTTTTCCTTTTGTTTCTTTTACGACAAGGAGAAGAGATCTTCGCGCATGCTAACGGCGAGTCTAGCTTCTCCCCTCGCATGCTAGCGGCTAGCCTAGCTTCTTCCTCGAGCGACAGTGTTTCCTGGAAGTCTCGCAGCTCAGTCCAAGTCGGGTTCGATCTTCTGTTACATCGTTAGTGTTTAAATGCCATCATCACCCGTAGGCCGGGGTGGTGGGGGGTGGTGGTGGGTTGATGGCTAACACAGCATTCCATTATTTTAGCGGTTGGTGTTCTTCTTCTGTCACCACCTCTTTAGCGCATTGAATGTGCGATTTCAGCCTTTCTCTGGGTGTGTTTTTTTTTTTGTTGCGGTCGATAGCGAGAATTAAGAGGGCCGTATTCGACATACTTTTATGGAATTCATAATCAGATAAGAAAGGAGGAGTTAATGGACAAACAGCTTGAGCAAATCACCAATTTGGGGCCGATCAGTAGCGGCTCAGTGCACTTGAAACAATAAACCGGAGCGGACAGAAGGCGCACAGACGCGGCGCGGACGTGTTGACGGAAGACTTCCACTAGGCCCGAGATGGACCGAGCCGATCCGCGCGGGCCGCTGTTAAAACTTGGCTTCGCCCGGCCCCTTCAAGCTAATGACCTCAAACCTTGTTTACCCTCCCGGGTCCTTCTGTGAAGGAGAGGAATCCAATGGTGACCTACGACATTCGGCGGGGAAGAGAGCAGAGAAAATGGGGTTTGTGTGTGTGGTTGGGGGGGGGGGCGGCAGAGGGGGGGCCCTCGGGGTCTTAGCCTGCACTGACACAATCTGGAGACCATCCCGCTTGCTTCAAGACGCGAGTGTCAAGGATTCCTGGGATGTGACATGGCAGAGTCACTCACGATACGATATTATTTCAACGGTACAGAGGCGGAAAATCTTAGGCAACAAATCGGAAAAACTGAACATTAATTTTTGCTCAGGTTTGATAATCGCAATTTGTCTGATTCTTTTGACTTTTGAGGATGTGAACGAGGGGGTGCGCTCACCCTGTCAAAGATATCCGAGGGGGGTGTGTCTTCAAAAAGTGAGGCAAGTTTTGACAATTAGTTTTTTTTAGGCCGTGTGTTATCACTGTCAGGATTTCAAAGGGGTGTGCGGGGGAAAACGACTGACGCTCAAGAGGTTGCGTGACATAACCCCTTCCGGGGACGGCGGTGACAGCAGTGGACAGCTTATCGTTTTATCAAGTGAACGGGGTGCACGAAAGGGTTAAAAAAAGGTTGAGGATGCTTTTACCTATTTTTTTTGAAGGTGTGTGCAGAAGAGATGAGGGGTGCGCTTCCTTTATCGAAACCTCGAAGGACTTGACAAACACCGCCGCTTTTTTTTTTAAAGGTGGTTTTAGTCGAAAAGGGGTGCGCCAATTCTGAACACCAAAGTGGGTCCGTGGGTTTCAAAAATTGGGTTAAGACAGCCAGGTTTTGGGGGTGGGGGGGTTGTTTTTTGGGGGGAAGGGGGTCCTCCGTCCGTGTCAAGAGGTCGAGGGGGTGCGCAGCTGAAAAACTTTGCTCAAAACTGACAGTGAGAGCTGCATTGACCAAAGTCTTCCTGTTAGAGCAACTTTTCTGCTTTTTTTTTTTTAGCCACAACCTCTCCCTCCCTTCCCAGTCCATGCCCTCCCTCCCCCCTTCTCTCTCTCTCTCTCTCTCTCTCTCTCTCTCTCATTCTCTTTTTTCCTCCTCCACTTCCTCAGAGAGACACACACGACTAGTCAGCGCCTGCAGCGGTAATCGGGACAACTCTCTGCGTTCTCGCCGGACCGGACTGGCCCTGCAGAGGTACCGCGCTGGCTGGCGGCAGTGTGGGATGGGGGGTGCGCTCCATGGCTTCCCAGGCTTAAAATGAAAAAGAAAAAAGCCGTCTTGTAAAGTTTCATCTCCGTCCGCCCCCGTCATGCTGGAGATTGCGGGAAAAGAACTTTTTTAGAGCAGTGGATCTTCTTTTCCATTTTTTTTCTTCTTTTTTTTTGTAAATACGGGATAAAAGACACAAGGATTCGAGCGGAATTATTGTAAGTATGACATTTTGTTTGTTGCTGCGTGGAATTTCTGCTGGCCCTTTATAATGTGTGCGTGTGCGTGTGTGTGTGTGTGTGTGTTTGCAAAAAAAAAAAAACAAAACAAAAAAAAGGCCAAACATTTTCATTCATAAATATGCATTTTCAAAAAATTGAGAGTGTAAGAAATCGTAATTGAATGCAGGATTAATAAAAACAATTTCAAAAAGTGCCAAAATAATCTGGATGTGGTTTCAAAATCCAAAACTTTAAATGTTATTACCGTAATAAAAAAAAAAGTATTTTTTTTTGAATTGGAGTAATTATTGCGTTTTGAAAAGTGTGGGCAGATTTAAATACGAGTCTGAATATGAGGAAACTAAACAAACACTCGCTGCACCGAATTGGATGTTTCCAAAACAGAAACGCTTTTCTCCCCATTGAGCTCAAAAACGGTTTTGTCGTGTCATTTTTAGGAATTAATAACAGTATTAATAACAATAAACTGCTGTCTGGAAGGGATCATTTTCAAAATGGGTCAAATTGGCCCATTTTGAGGTAAAAAAACAAAAAAAATCGGATGTATACGTAACATTAAAAAAACGTTTTAGACATATTTGCAATTGGAACGAATAATGCGACTTAAAAAAATGTATTAATTCGATTATTTTACCTCCCAGACACTTTTGAGTAATTGAACACACCCCGGATCAAATTGACCTGGCAACATTACTGCCGTTCAATGCAGCCAGCGGGCTAAATAGCCACAAAAAAAAGTACTGTCGGAATCGCTCCCAAGTGGAAGCTCTTGACATTTTATGCCATCTGCTTTGGCCGCGGAATGCAGCGCGGAGACCCCGAGACGGAGGGCCGCGATTCAGCGTCCCCGCAACACACACACACGCACGCACGCACACTCCTGTAATTGAAGGGCTTTAACGTTAAAGGGGGAAACTCCACTCTCTTTTTTTTTTTTTGGGTGTCTCCCAAGGTGTGAGATGAAAGAACTGGAAGCAAGGGTGGGCAACCAATGGTGGGTGGGGGTGAGGGGGGGGGGGGCTTCTACTCGAGCTTTAAATGTGCAGTTTTCACCCCAAAAGAGCAAATTGTGAAACTTTGCGTGGCTCTGGGAGCGCTCAATGGGCATAAGGGACCCCACCCTCGGTGTTAAACAAACACAAGCTGCTACCATTCACTCGGCACAATCACCTTATTTATCCAATTAGTGCGTTATTTGCTCGCGTGGCTGTTATGTGCACAGGCGGGAGCGGTCGGGTATTGTGGATGCAGAGAATGGTGGTGCTGGTGGGCGGGGGGTGAGGGACGGCGGGGGGGGTAAATCGTAAGTGGGATGATTTAGCAGTGTGTGGGGTAGGGAGGGGGCGCGGGGGGGGGTGTTGTTTACTAAATAGCACCAGGCGTTGTTTTGTTCACACGTTGCTGTTCAGGTCGGGAAAAGAGCACTCGGGATCCACTTTGGTGGACGGGACTGAATTGTGACGAGAATGGAACGGCCCGCCCACTGAAAGGCATTTTGGTTGTCAGAATAATCCCGATAACATATGAGGTGCTAATAAATTATGTGGGTGTTTTTTTTTCTTCTTTTGTTTTGTTTTTTTTAACGGTATAAGATGGCCGCGATAGGCTCCAGCACGCCATCGACCCTCGTGAGCATAAGCGGACTCGGATAATGGATCAAACAATAACATCCCTGGGTCAATTTGACCCGTGTTTTTTCCAAAAGTGTCAAAAACTGGGGGGACAAAAAAAAAAAATCTATCCGATTATTATTTAATATGACATGAAATATCAATTTAAATGTCACACAAATGTATGGCTCCCATTATGCGTGTTGATGACATTTCAATGCTGAAAAGCTGCTTGTCACCTTTTTCATTTTTTTGGGTTGAGTTAATTTTAAAATCTGACCGGCAAGATGCAAAAAGCCAAGGGTTTTAACGCACTTTTATAAATGTATGGCCCCCCGCGTAAACCCTACTTAAAGGCTTTCGTGCTATGATCATGTTTAAATTGTGCTTTGACGCCTTCGTTTTTCGTTGTCGATGCTTTCTGGGAAGAGGCTTGTGATTACATTTCACCTTACATTTTATGAGCAAAACGCAGATTTTTTATTTTTTTTTTGCTTTTGTTTTTGTTGTTTTTGGGGTTTTTTTTCTAATCAGCTGTCGCGGTTTTGTTTGCTCAGGTTGATGGAAGGCAAAATGAGGAGTCATTTCTATTCAAATATGCAACGGCGGGGTTTATTTCATTAGGCTCCGCTGTTTGGAAAAATTTGCATTCGAGACTCGGCATCCCAAGCGGAGCATCGCATTAAAAAAAAAAAAAAAAAAACCCCGCACTGCACTGCAGCCCGGCACCCACTCGCGCAACATCTGTGTCCAATTGTCGTGCGCGTCCACATTCTTTTGCCTGCCCGGCGGATTTATTTTCCCTGGGCCACCATGTGGACTCAGCTGACCAGCTTAAGTGAGGATTAGTCGCTCTAAGGTTCCAATTTTTTCGGGGGGGGATTAAAAGAAGTGCAAATCAAAACATGATTAAAAATTGCCTAATGATATTAAGTATCAGTAACAGCCCGCTTTTTTTTAATGCGCGCTAACATATGAGCAAACCCTTGCCGCTATGGTTTTAGAAGCTCAATCAGGTTAATATTGAGCTGGAAAGGCTAATTTCTTAAAAAATTTCATTACATTTTTAAAAAAGGGTTTTTTTGTATTAAAGTGCCTTTGAATCGGGATTCCTAAAGTTCCTGAGAATGCAAACATCAACGGTTGTATCGTATTCCGGTGATCTGAATTCTGAAGTGAGCGGACTGAGATCTCGATTTTACAAAAGGGGTTTAAAAAAAAAAAGACAAAAACAAAAACCAAAAGAATCAAAAAGTGTCCGAGAATGGACGCATAAATCATACACATGAACATCGACATTAGTCTTCATCCGCAGGTCGATTGGAAGCAGCCATTTCGATATTTTGAAGTTTTTGAAGAGGGGTTAAGAGTCAAAGCGGGTGCTTTGGAAATGCTGTCATAAGTATCAAAGTTTGTGTCCATCTGCATTAAAAACGCTTTAAAAAAAATCAAGCTGCTTTTGAATCAAGAATCAAACATCAATGGTAGCGTTCATCTATATATTTAAAAAAAAAACGTTTTATCATCCTCTAACGTCATTTTGTTGTTGATTACACTGCTTAACATTTTTTTTTTAAATCAGAGATGCAGGTTTATTTTTATTTATTTTTTTTGTGCAGATTCTGAATTTGCCCTCGTTTTTGTTTTGTTTTTCTCCAGCCCGTCAGGTTTTCATCACAAGAACAGCAATGTGATCTGTAATCTAGTAAGAGATTTAATAATATTAATGAACACATGGCAACAGGTGGATTTTCTTTTTCTTTTTTTCGGGGAAACGTCAGAGCTATAAATTACAACGCGTGGTGAAAATCGGTATTGCGCAAGCTTTTGGAGGATAACTTCAAACGAGAAAAAAAAAAAATTAAAAAGACATCTCTGAAGAATACATTGAGCCATATATGATGACCAATGTGAAAAACAGCAGGCGGTTAAAAATCAAAATGAAGCACTTTGGGCATCACAAACAACTGTTATCGATATTTTTGGAGTCGTTGATTTGAACACTAAAATTGATTTCTTGAAAGGGGAGGAGAAAAACCAAAAAAAAAAACCATCCAGTTCCTGATCTTGTAAACATCCATTCTGCCATTTCCCAAGCTGCATCCAGCAACATAATAACCAGTGCGATCATATTCCGAGGACTTGTTAATACAAAACTGAAACTGGACGTGATCTCACGAGGTGAAGTCTAAAATCGAGGGCGCGTTTCGAAGAGCGCCGACAAACGCGGGGAAGCCTCGGCGCTCAAAAGTGTCAGCTTGTGTTTACCTGGAAAACAAACGGCGAGCAAGCGTGACGGGGCCGCCCTGTGGCCTCGGCGCTTCTTCTTCTTCTTCTCCCGTTGTCACGGCGACACCTCTCCGCCCGCTTTGTTGCCGCTCGCTTCAAAGACGCGTCGGCGGCGGCGGCTCGGGGATCCGCGTACATGAAAGGAGCTTTGAAGTGGGGCGTCTTCACGCTTTCTCCTCACCTGGATGCTTTCACCTGCAATGGTGGAGACGTTTGAACACGACAGCCGCCAATTCTCCAAGCTAATGTGCTGCTTTTGTTTTGGGGGGTTTTGGTTCATTGAAAAGTATTGTCCCGCATGGGGAAATTCGGCAAAGGTTTTGCATTTTGTAAACTTTTCTGCTTTGGAGAAAAAAAAAAAAAAAAAAAACAGGGTGAAAATCCTTCACCATGTCTTAATACACACAGGAGGGCAACCTATGGCATGAGGGCCACAAGTGAGCCGCAGGAGTGTTTAATCTGGGAAGAAATAAATTCTCAACGCCACCAATGTTTCATAACAAATTGTTCCATCACTTCTTTTATTAAATTTAAACTTTGATGGATTTCTTTAAATTTTTTTAAACATATTTTTGGTCCCCCCTCCCCCCCAAAAAAAGCATATTAAAAAAACGACTTCAATTTATTTACTCTCTGCAGAAACACTTTAAAGATGTGAAGAAATCACAAGAGTTGAGGTTGCACTGCATTGCTTAACATAATTAAAAACTGGGAGCAGTGCATCAGTCTTTCTCATAAAAAAAAAAAAAAAAAAAAATCACTTCCAGACGTATGCTCTTGACCCTGTTTTGGACCCGGAATCCCCACGGAGGGCCTCGAGTCAGCTCTAATATACCGTAGTGTTACGGCCGCGCCGGTGTATGGCCCTTTCGCGCGCTTGATGTCGGACTGAGCTCTGAAAATGTAACTGTCAGCTCGAGGAGAGTAATAGAGGCGTCGGCGGTGTCATAGGAAACATATGTGGCTCCATATGCTCGCATAGGCGCGTTGTTTTGAGATGGGCCTCCACAAAAGTGCCCTGTGTGTGTGTGTGTGTGTGTGTGTGTGTGTGTGTGTGTGTGTGTGTGAGAGGATGTATAGGCTTAAAATAAGGGGTTTCGCTTGACAATTTGCGAGACCAAATTCACATTTTGTGCCTCATTAAAACACATAATTAGCAAAACCGAGAACCACTGATTTTTACATTTGTCCTAAACCTCTGAGACTGTCCCAAAACGTGTCGCTCGACTGGACGTTCGCATATTAACGTTGCCACAGCGCAGCTCAGTGCTACGTCACAGCAGTGTTAGCTAGCGACGAGCTTGTACTGGCTACTAGCGTGGCTAAAGATATTGCGGATTCGCTCCTAAATCAGTATTCATCGCCTTCGTGGCGGCGAATACGCTACACTGACAAGTATCGTTCTCGCACAGAAATGATAAGAAGTAATGAACAGAAGACGAAAAAGCCATGCTATTTGCTAAGCTAATCTCAAATTGACATCGTAGCGGACAGTAATGAAGCGCTTGGGTCATCGAGTACACTTTTCACCGAAGTCTGGCTGGAACCGCATTAAAGCGGAGTGTATCCAACTTGGACCAACAAAATAGCAGGCAATTTAATACGATTATATCGTAATGCTACAAACATAGCTAAACAGGACCAGAAATGAATTATGTTGCGTACATCACCTGGGGGAAGTGGCATAGAAGATTAAAAGTATATTGACAGAGTTTATTTCATATATTTATCTTCTTCTATTATTTTTTTTAAATCAACTTAGCTTTGCTAAAGGACCACACAACCCATTCAGAAACACTTAATTGGAACTGAAATTTTGATTGTTTCTAAACAAGAAAATATAGTTCGCTCCCACTCACAGCGTGACTTGAAGCAAAAAAAAAAAAAAATGTTGACTGTTGAAAAGGAAAAGAAAAAAAAGAAACCACTTGTTAATTTGTTATCTTGTCATATTTTTATTGCTTCATAAAACCCTTGTTTTGGGTCCCTGGGATTAATCTGCAAAAAAGTTGCTCCTCAAACAAAGTCACTTCATGCTATTTTACTCACACTGAAAGGAGCTTTGAGGTTGTCTATTTGTGTGCGCTGCGGCTGCCGCCAACCCCCCCCCCCCAGGCCTCCTTGGGGAGGGTTGGGGGGGCAAGCAACCCTGACGGTCATTAGGAGCTGTCAGTATCGGCCCGAGCGGGGGTTTGCTGATGAATTTCAGATAGTGTCAATTGCACATGAAAGATGTTCTGAGGATGCCCGGGCTGTCACGCTCGACTGGGCCCCCGCTCAACACGTCCCATCTTCCCATTCCGAAAAACCTGTGATCCCTCACTTCTTCAGCCCCCACCCGCCCACCCCACCCCCCTTCTTCCTGCTTACCTTGGCTAAGTTGCTTTGCATGTTGATTGGGAAGGGGGGGGGGAGGGGGGCGGTGCGAGGAGCGGGCTAATCCAGTTTGCAGCTGTCGTAAGGCCCAGTGATGAATCGCCTCTCCAGGAAGAAACAGCAGCGGAGAGAAGGGCTTCTCTTCTCTCGCCGCTTCAGCAATCATGTTTTCTCACAGGCGAGGCTTTTTGTCTCACGCTAACAAGGAGTGACTTTGTTTCGTCCAGGTGGAGCAGGCCGGAGGAGGGGTTGCAGGACTCGGGAGGACTTAAAGGTATCTCGGTGGCAGGTAAGGGGGGGGGGGGGGATTTTTTTTTTTTAATCTATGTGCACCACTTGGACTTGCATTTTATGTTTGGCAAAAGTTTGCTTGATTGATTGATGAACCCTTTCATGCACCCTGTAACCTGATAACGTGACAGGCTGTCCACTGTCGTAGCCGCTGTCCCTGAAAGGGTTAAGATCGGACTACTTTAGGGAACTCCTCCAACAGCTTGTTCTTCATTGATTGTATTCAGAGGTAGTCAATGGATTCTAGCATAAATTTGAAGCTCCGTAACCAAATGTTTTTGGGCACCGAGATGTTTTATTTACGTCAAAATATTGATATTGTCATGAGGCTTTGCTGATACAGTTGCGATACAGTATTGGTATCGATCGATTTGATGGTGGTCAAAAGTGCTTTTATTACGTTGGCGTAAATGAAACATCCTAAAATGCCGTAAGATGTGCCAAAGCTTAGTCTAAATCCTCAAGTTGAACATTTATTGCCACTCCCACTTGAAGTTTACCGTCAAACTAAACATAAAGCAAAGAGGAGTACTTTGTATTTCTACAGCCAAAGACGAGGTAGCGTTCCGCAACTCTTAAGATAGTCGATATTTGAACACGATTGGCGGCGCAACATTTGCAGCCAGATAATCTATACTCACTGGCATAGATTCTTTATCCCCTGACTGATGTCTTTAAATCCTTATTAAACATTGTGTTTTTGGATTTACGCCAAAAAGTTCTTGAACATTCAAATATCAGACATGCTATAAACCTTAAAGCTAATGCTTATTGTCATTCCTTCATAATTATGAGCAGACTGTATTTTTTGTTGTTCATTTAAAAACTAAATTGGAAAGATTTCTTTTTACATGCCAGGTTATGTTCATAATCTAATAGTCGACCTGATTTTTGTATAAGAAAGACCTCACGGCATTGTATGTAGCACGTCTATAGCCTGATCGTGCAATTGCCAAAAAGTCACGAACAGATTTCAAATAACAAGGTAAAACTCATTTAAACTTTGCGGATTACTAAAACGAGGATGACTGGGAATTTACACAAACAAAGAAAAAAAATACAATAATTTAAAAGTTCAAAATGACTTTGGCTAGTAGGCTAACTAAATCACCGTTAACCCTCTCCATTGTCTCACCCCCGCCCCGTCCCGATAATTGTGAGCGCACTGTCGTGCTCAATGTTCCGCGCGGCGTTTGCTTTGCTTCTGCGTAAACACGGCAACAATTACGGCGCTTGCCAGAGCAAACACATCAGCCTCCTCGCCTGCCAGTCACTCGCGAGGCACGCAGCGCACGCAGCTCTCTTGTAATCAAGCCGCAGTGAATCCAAACCGGCGAAGAACATCTGGCTTGGAGCAGAGACGCGGCACACTGACAGCGAACATTGAAAGTGCAGCTTGACGTGACTGGAGGAATGACAAATTGCTTTGTTTGTCGCTGCGCCTTTCATTGCTGACAATTGCTTACAGAGCGTCTGTTTATTTGAGGGAGCCTGTTTGAAATCCCCTTGTCATGTGGAGATGTTATTTACTGACCTCTTCTGCATCATTTACTCAGCGCAACCCCAAGAGAGATGATGGTGCTCTCTTGCTCGCAAAGCGAAAACAGCAGAACTGAACCATGAATTAAAAAAAAAAAAAAAAAAGACGGGTAAACCCCTCTTTCTCCTGCGCACCTCCATAAAAAGTCAGAAGGCATCATGATCGAAATATTTGAACAAAAATAAATAAAAATTTTTAAAAAACTCCCTCACCACACACTAAACACGATCAAACACAAAAACGTAACACAGTAATTTATGAAAAGTCGCGACCACAAACAATGCTATGACGTAGCCCTTCGCCACCACAAAGACATCATAAAAATGTCTAAACAAGACATCACGATGCAGACATGAGACAAAACAACTAATAAAGTTTTTCTATTTCAAGCTAAAGTTTATTAAAAAAATGTTTTTTAAATCATATGTCACATAATAAGTTAATATACCAGAACACCGGTGTAACCCCGCAGGTGGTGCGCAGCGCAGTTTGGGGGAAACGATTTTAGCATGCTAATTTGTGAGCTAATACTACCGAGCCTTGGGAGTCTGACAGAATTTTTTTTTTAATCCACAAAGTTACTGACATACAAAGAGACACAAAGTACAAATTCACAAACAGCCAAGTTAAAACATAAACATTCTACGTCAGCTGTTGACGAATGAATTTGTGTTCCAATATCTTCGCCTTTCCTATGCTATGCGTTAGCTCGGCTACATTTTTCCATCCTGGGTTAGCGTTTAGCTAGCTGGCCATTCCTAAGGCTAAGTCATGTGGGTGTTTTAAAAACACACTCGGTCGCATTCTTTGTTTGATGTTTAGTTTGACAGTAAACTCGATGACCTCGACCGTGTTGTGTTTTTAGGTTTATGGAAATGCAGGATCTCGCCAGTCCTCACAGCCGAGTTAGTGGAAGCAGCGAATCTCCGAGCGGCGCCGCCCTTGACAACTCCCACCTCCATAACAACAATTCCATGACACCCAATGGCACTGAAGGTAGGCTCGCCATTCGTTTTTTTTGTTGGCGCTGTTTTTCCCCCCCCCCCCCCCCACCCCCAACACACCCCCGTTGTCACGATTCCGTTCCCTCAGCATGAATGGACAAAAGTGCAATTTTGCATGCGGTTTTCCCCACAGCATATCGTTGTTGACTCAGGTGATAAACGGACAGGACTCATGTCACGTGTCCTTTTGTTTTTTTTGTTTTGTTTTTTGGCGCTCCCAACACCCCCTCCCCCTTCATAGGTGACAGCATCACAATGCTCACCACCGCAGACTGGTTGTTAGGTTGTAACTCGCAATCCGCCTCAGGTTTGTCTACTTTCTTTGGCAAATGAAAGGACAATATTTGCAAAAAGACATCCCCCCCCGAAAAATTGCCAGAAGCGTGGCTTCAACTATTGTACCTTTCATTCAGGCCCTCTGTGGCGTTTCAAGCGTGTCATGCCAGCATGGTTTGCAGTGAACCAATCGGGCCGCTTTCATTTGCTCATGCTTATCCGCCCTCCAAACATGGTATGTTTTTGCGACTGTGTGCTCGTTTATGCATGCACACCAGCATTATTTTTATCCTTTAAAGCCCCACCCCCACCCCCTTTCCCCAACCCTCACCCGGCGTGTTCCCAAGTATCACCGCCTGTCAGCATGTTTCCGACTTGAACGAGCACAGCGGAAAAACATGTCCGACATGACAGCCAATGGCTTCTTCATTTCTGCGGAGCATGACCGCCTTGCCCACATTGTACGGGGAGTGTGGGAGTGGAATGATTTCAAAGATTTCTGAGCTGTCAGGTAGCTGTGAAATTGTTCTTTACGCATCTATCAGTGAGCTCGGTAATGGAGCCAAGGTCAAAAAACGGTCGCTACGCATCAAGATGAATTTATACATCAGCACCTTTTTCCTGACAGCTCAGTTATACTTGGTTGTCATCGCTAAAAACAAATCCTAACGCACGTCACATGAATCATTTGCCAGCATTTTACACTGTTGATTTAGCGTTGCGTTAGCCTGCTCGGATGAGATTTGAACACAGATGCGGCCTTCCTCGTAGGCCCGATTTGCAACACGGGTCTCGGCGCGTTGCACGCATTTGGTCGGATTAAAAGAAGGCTAAAAAACGATTTTCAAAGATGCGCGGGTTAAAATAAGAAGACTGTAAAGTCACAAAACGTGTCGCAGGTTACAGTAAGGCTACCAAAAATCTCCGAAACAGATTTGAATTTTTATGGGGTGAGAAACAAAATGGAGTGGATTCAATTCAAAAAAAAAAATCTAAATCTAAAATCAAGATTCAAAGTAGCAAAGTAATTTGGGGAAGAGACACCACGACAAGAAAGCTGGCATGAACTGGCGTAGGACAAAAATGATTCGAAACAGACTGACAAGACAACGGAGGCACACCTGGACGCAACGCGAGTGTCTGGAAGGAGCTGAATTCTCGATACGAGGAAAAAATTGACGTGAAAATTGACAATCGAACGAGTATCAAAATCAAAAGCAACGCCAAAGTCAACAAAAAAACAGATCCTGACACGCACACGTTGAAAGAAAACCTCATCGGCAAAAGTTGCCCAAATTAAGACAACCAAAATAGTTCTTCATGGTGACGTTGTGGCTGAGTGGTGTTTTTTTTTTTTTTTTTCCTTGCTCCTTGGCAGTTAAAAGCGAGCCAATGAGCAGCAGCGACATAGCCGCCTCAGTAGCAGACACCTCCCTGGACAGCTTCTCCGGATCGGGTGAGGACCAACTTAGCTTATCTCTGTATGTGCGTCGTTGCCAATAAATTGCGTGTGTATGGATATGTGTGTTTATGAACCTGACTTTTGTCAGCAATTTTTTTTTTTTATGCTTTACTCATGTGTTTGAGTGTGTTTACTTCATGTCGGCGCAAGACGGAATAAACATCCAGCGGATGTATGCCGAACAATGAATTGAATTAAAATTGACACGGCAATGAAGGAGACCGCAATTTAGATGAAAAATAAATAACTGCAAATGGCTCATTTCAGTCGCTTTGAGCAAGGCACGGTGTTTACAGAGCATTGGTTCATTGTCACGGATTGGTTTGCGTGACTGTTGTAATTTGATTTATGGACTTAGTGGCTTTTTGTTGACGCCGCTCTTTGGTGGAATTTTGGGGGCGTTTCGAAAGTTCACAACTCGAATTGACGGTGAAAAATGAAGTGGCTATTACGTCGAATAAATCTGATACTGTTTATTGTTATACAGAGTGATTTATTGCAACATATTTAATCGCGATATTGAGGCAAAAATGTCGCAATTGATTCTTTTTTTTTAAATCCTGATGAGAAGGGTTTTTTTTCACATTCAGACCCCACACGTGATTACAAAAATAATAATTTTAAAAACCTGTACAGGTTTGCTCTGATTAACCTCAACACACTACACCACACACCCAAACATTCTGTTCCACCTCCAATCAAGAATCGAGTTCTTCAAGTGGGGATGCAACATGGAAAAGGAGGGAATGAAAACCCGGAACTCCGCCAAAATAAGACCGCATCAAAAAATCTGGAGACAATTGTCTGTTTGTTTGTTTTGACATGGATTAACAGAGTTGTTTTTAGGCAAAACAAATACAATTAAAAAAAAAAAGGTAATGACTTTCAATCCTTCTGGGTTTTTTTTTTTTAAGAACGGCCCCCCCAAAAAACAGTATTTAGAGTTTCGGTGCAAGTTAAGTTTGTTTGCACAAGAGGGTTTTCATTGGAATGCTAATGAGAACATTTTTGTTTTCAAGGCAAATAAAACCGCGGCGACCCAAAAAAAAATAAAATACTAACGTTTTCAGTGGGCTAAGTTAGACGCCCTGCGGGACTACGTCGTCGTGTATTGTGGTTACGACTTAGTTGGCTGCCTTATTTCAGCGGTGCGTTTATACCAGTGGTTGCCATGACAATAAATGAGTCAGCACCAAAAAAAAAAAAAAAAAAAAAAGATCCTGCCGACTGATTATTTTTGCTCCGTTATTATGATCGGTCTTTTCAACCTGAAAGAAGGTCAGGGAAATAAACAGAGTAAAGCAGGCGTAATTACCGTCTCTTCGGAATCTCGGGGTTCTGTTGGCAAAAACTAATATTTACCTTGCTTCTGAGTGTTTAAACGTGCTCTCGTCTCTCTTAACTCTCCTCCTCAGCTATTGGAAGCAGTGGCTTCAGCCCAAGACAAACGCACCAGTTCTCCCCGCAGATTTACCCTTCCAAGTAAGGCTCCTTTTTACTCGTTCCACCCACCCACCACTCCAAAAAAATTAAAATAAAATAAAAATAAGCAGCGTCCGACTTCATTTGGAGATTTAATTAGATCCTTCTGCCGGATCGCCAAATTTCAAGCGGCTTTGTTTGCCTGGATGTCTGCTACCTGTCATAATAGCTCGTCGGCGATATGATCACATTTTTACGTGTAGGGAGGGTGAACCGTATTTTTTTTTTCTTTTTTACCTCCCTTCACATTTTTTTTTTATTGTTGTTCTTTCATCGCTCAAGCAGCAGGACGTATCCGCATATTCTTCCGACCCCTTCGTCCCAAAATATGGCCGCGTACGGGCAGACGCAGTACACCACAGGAATGCAGCAGGCCGCAGCTTACGCCAGCTACCCGCAGCCTGGCCAGCCCTACGGCATCCCGGCCTACGGTAAGAAAGCAGCGCCATTTTAAACTTTTTGTCTATTTTTGAAACAATTTGGACAATTGAGAAACGCGGCCCGCGTAAGCTTTCATTCGCGAAGGTCAGATGTTTCCCGAGATGGTGTTCTCATCATTTTTCCACCGTGGCAGCAAGCAGTCTTGCTGAGTTGTTGTTTGGTGCCCGCATGCTCTCTGTCGGTGACTTTGCTGATCGTGCGTGGCAGAGATCAGAAAGATGACGGATGGAACTTTGTGATCCGGAGAAAGCCTTACATTTGATTTTTTTCCAAATTCTAAATCTGATGAGGGTTTTTTTAAGCACAAATTTTCAATGGAAGAAAAAAAATAGGATGAATTTAGGGATCCATTGCCCTAAATTTGTATTTCTAGGGTAGCTTAGAAGCACTCGCGGGATGATCATACGTCTTTGAACAAAGGGTAGCCATCATTGATATTCCATTAAATAGGGGATTCCCAAATTTCGAATTTTTTTGGGAAGCATTTTTTTAAGATGTGGTGCATCAACTCGGTCAGGATTTTCAATTTGGGAAAGGAGGTGATATATAATCAGCAGGGTAGAAATGTTTCCAAATGATTTTATCCAATTAAAAAAATATATATTATTTTTTGGTGAACTATTGAGCCCGCTGTTACCGAAGTCTTAGATTTTAATCCAAGGGATCTTAAATGTATCTTCCTTTTCTCCTATTTATATGCATCATAAAACAGTTTTGCAAAATTTCTGAAAATATCAAGCCCATATTTTAGTTGTCACACTGATTGAAAAAGGGGTTTTGTATTTTAAAATTTGGTCAAAATTGCATTCAGAAATTTCTCAAAGGGGCTAAAATGTGACTTTCTTAAATCTGTAGGTCCGTTTCATACAAAAAAATACTTGCTCTGCGAAGGTATGAGATCGCTACAAGGAATCAGTAAACAAATCATTGTGATTGGCCCCTGGCCCGCTCTCGGTGTAATTTCAAACCTGTGACTCTGGACTCTTGTAAAGAGCATCAAACCGATCTGATGTCGCTAACTGATTTAGGGCCATTGTGGGCAGGCATCAAGACGGAAAGCGGCCTGAGCCAGTCGCAGTCGCCGAGCCAGACGGGCTTCCTCGGCTACGGCTCTGGCTTCAGCACGCCGCAGACGGGCCAGGCGCCGTACAGCTACCAAATGCAAGGTGAGGACGTCTGAATCTTTTTGGCTTTTTGTACTGTGGTGCCTTGAGAGAAAAGCCATTTGGCTCAGAGCTTTGGCATATAGTCCACAATTTTTTTTTTTTTTAAAGTGGCTTCGAGCTATAAGAATTACACGTTCACTGCAATCTTAAGGTTTAGTCTGCTAGCTTAATACTAATGCTAACACATACAGTATAACGTATATATATAATCCTTTCAGCAACTGATATTTGAACACAAACTCATACACTAACCGATGAAGACATTCATTATAATGGTACTCACAGTCGTATTCTTTATCCTCTGCAAGGAGCTAAGAAGGGCAGAGATGAGCTATTTTTCTCCATCCATCCATCCATTTTCTGATCCGCTGATCCTCAGAAGGGTCGCGAGGAGCGCTGGAGCATATCCCGGTTGTCTTCGGGCAGTCGGCGGGGTCCACCCTGAACTGGTTGCTAGGGAACACAGAGACGAACAACCATTAGCGCTCACAATCACACCTAGCGACAATTTCGAGTGTTCCATTAACCTGCCGTGCATGTTTTTGGAATGTGGGAGGAAACCGGAGTACCCGGAGAAAACCCGGGGAGAACATGCAAACTCCACACAGGAAGGCCAAAGCCGGAATCGAACCCTGCACCTCTGCACTGTGAGGCCGACGTGCTAACCAGTCGACTACTATTTTATTTTTCTCATCTGAAAAAACACGACGTACATTTGTTGTTGTTCTGGGGAGGTTACAATGGATTGATGGCGTTTTTAAAAGCACTAATATACATCCATGTCTCCTGACAGATTTTCAGTCCTGGAAAAATGTAAAAACAGCAACATGGATCCAATCGATCCTCCCAATTAGCTGACCTGACCTGATGCCGAAAATACCTCCCTGCCTTTGATTTAAACACCGAACGGAATTCACAACACGGCCAACGCGGGCAGTCATCGTAAATCCTCCACCTTTTAAAAGAAAAAAAAAAAATCAACACAAGATGGGGGAAGAAAATGGAGTCACTTAGGAGGCACCCCAACTCCCCAGCCTTTGTTTTTCCTCTCCCTGTGATCATATTTGTATTTGTTTAAGCGTTTGGGACCATGGCAATTTATAGCCTTGAAGCTAATAAAGATGAGCTGTTGCACCCCCCTTTACCATTCTCTCGCTCAGAAACATTTGGATGCCCCCCCCCCTCCCTCCCCACTAGGAGCCACAAAAGTTCCACCTGCGTGGGCCATTTAAACTGGCTGCATTCCGGCTCTCTTTTCTCTCTTGCTCCCTTGTGACAGAATCCTCCAGGATATCCAACAGTAAATAACGCCGGCGGCTCAGCCGCAGATGTGGCACGCCGTAGCCTCTTTTCCCGTGGCTGCCGACCAAAAAAAACCAGAGGAAGAGAGCTGGGGATGACAGCATGATGTGCCCGTTTGTCTTCTCACTATGAAGCGCTTTGTATTTTTTTATTTTTTTTGAATTTTTTTTTTTTTACCCCTGCCGCGAATCCCCTGAGTAGTTTGAAATTGTAAATTGACAGCAAGGGCCTGACGGATTACTGTAATTGTCCGGACAATTGAAACGGCCAATGTGAGATTTTTTAAAACCAGCAAAAATAGCCAGACCATATTGGGTGACAGAACGGCAGCTTTTTGGGCCCCTGTATGAAGCTGACGAGTGCAATGCGAGTTAGGGGACACGATCAGAAAAAAAAACACCCGAAAAAAACAAACATGAGAAAACAATGACAGTCCAATCGAGAACTACATTTGCTATATTGATTGTGATGCCATCTCGCAAGGTGATTCAAATCGTCTGATGCAGGTTTTCCCAGCAACTAAACCAAAGTCCACGTTCACAAGTTCCACATGTGATCCCCTCCTCGCCCCACACCCCAAAAAAACCCCAGATCCCTCCACCAGCTTGTGACCAGCTGTCAAGGCGGCAGACGATTAGATTAATGTTTCCGCGCCTCGCTTTCATGTCCGATGCCACGGAGCTTTGCGTGGCTGCGCCGAATCGTAAAGGCCGCAAAGGCGTCCGTGTATGCCAATTCGCGTGGCGGTGGACGCCGCTGTGCCTCAAGAATTTGGCGTAGAGACCCGTAAGAGGTGGGTGCAAAAATACACCACAGCAGTACTGGGAGTAATGCAATCAGGAAAAACATGTTGCGTTTTGGGACATATCAACACAGCGGAAAATAAATTTTTGTCAACCTTTGGACCGACCAACTATTTGGGGCAATTTGATCCAACTTTGTGAGTTACTCTGTATAAAACATCCTCATTTTTCTGGGACACAAAACAACCCACAGTCGGGTCAAATTGACCCAAATAGCTGGTTGGTCCTTTTTTTCACCCATATTGTTGGGTTTTTTGGGGGCTTTTTTTGCTTTGTTTTTTTAACCCAACAATTTTAAGGGTGTAAGAAAAATAAATACCAAAATATAAATAAATACCAAAAATAAATAAATAAATAAATAAAAATAATTTTTGAAAAGCAAATCGAGAAAAACTTAATTTTTAAATCAATATAGTGAACAAAGAAAATCTACTGGTGTGAAAAAAAAGATAAAACAGTACGTAAATAATCAAGACTAGTGAAAACACATTAAAATAAAGCAAAGTGAATAACAGACAAATTAAAATAAAGAACAAGAACTTTCTTTTGTCAATTTTCTATTTCAAAAAACATTTTTAAATGAATTTTAGAAAAAAAAATTACAGGAACCAACAGTGTGCATTTTCCACTTAAAATTGCAATTAAAACAACCAAAATAACACCAACTATTAAAAGCACCATGACATTTTTATCGTAAAATAAAGCTCAATCAATTCAGAAGGAATGAAATCAAGAAAGAACATGACAGCAAGTTAACAGGTTGAGAGATGGATTGAGCAGATGCTAATTATGTGAATAATTGGATTCCAACATTCTTGCACGCCAGCCACAAAAAAAAAAATAAAAAATACGAGTCCATCTGGACTTGATAGCTTATCCCCAAGTGGGGCATCCCAACTTCTGCTCCAAATATTGTGCGCTGATGATAGACATAGCCCGTGGCGAGGAGACTGATCAAGCAAAGCAAATGGACTTCCAATTGTGGGGCCAGAAGGCAGGCAAAAGGGGAGGAGGGGGAGGGGGGGTCATGGAGGAGTTCTGATGTCTGTACTTCAGTGACTGAGTGAACTAACTGGAGCAGCACAGAGGGAGGCAGCGAAAACATGCCCCCCGGGGAACCTCAACCCCCCCCCCCCCCCTCGACCAGACCCCCCCCCGCCACTCAAGAACAGCACGCCTCCATTCTCGCCTGGGCCGCCGGGGTCCCCTCGGCTTTTATGTGGCTCCTCGCTCTCCGCCAGCCAGCGCTTTTATGACCGCTTCAACTGCGCTTCGGGCTAATTTGTTGTCGTGCGCTTCTTTGCCCGCGCTTCTGATTGTTCTGTCAGACTTTCACTTCGTTTTGAACTCGGGAACCAGAAGGAGAGGGGGCGGGGGGGAAATATGGCAAATTTCCCCGCACGGCCCTTGAGAAACCAAACAAGGCAGACAGATGTAATATAACCGGTAGAGGCCGGGGCTGGGGGGGGGAAAAGAAGCTTCACAAATCGTCTGTGCGCGGCGCATCAGAGGCGTTTGTTTCTCTTCTCCGGGCCAAACAGAGAGCACGTTGTGTCCATTTTTCGCCACATACTTCCCTTTCTGCTCTGCCTGATCGTTTGACCGCTTTGTGAAAAGCTGCTTCGCATTTGTCACAGTGTGGGAGTGCCGCGATTGCTCACAGCATGAAAGGAACACCCTCTTGTTTGTTGCCAGGGCGGGGCCGGGGAGGGGGGGTCAAAGGTGTAATTATGCCCTCATTTAGGGACAGTGCATTTATCTCCATCCAACTGACACTCCGTGTTCATGGCTGGATTAGCATATTAACAATGGAAGTGTGTGTGTGCGTGTGTGTGTGTGTGTGTGGGGGGGGGGGTACAAATTGTTATTTGGGATTTCCTTTTTTTTTTTTTCAAATGAAAACAATAATAGGGACAGAAAAAATGAAATGAACAAAAAAAGGGAGTATTTGAATATCAATTGAAAAACAAAACCAAAAATGCCAGTCTAAATTTGAGTGCTTGACAGTTTATGTATGTGTGTGTGTGTGTGTGTGTGTGTGTGTGTGTGTGTGTGTGTGTGTTAATTTTCATTTGAAAATAATATATATTTGGAGGCATTGAGAAAATATTTTTTATGCTTTTTTTTCCCCAAAATTCACAAAGCCTGATTTTTTTAAATTAATATCTCTCTTGTCCCATTTCAAGCTAAAAGGCCCATTTAAAGGCTAAAAAATTAAAAATAGCAAAACTGGCTCGCGTTTGTATCATTTTGGGCTTAACTGTACATCAAACAATACAAGCTTTGTAGCGGCATGTAAATCCTCTTCGAGCTAACGGGGACGTCAAGTTTATCTTTGTTGGAGGACTTTCAAATAAAGCACTGCGACTTTGATTGAGTCTGAGAGTTTCCACTCTCAAAGGCTGGGGTGGGGGGGTGGGGTGGGGGAGTTGTATTACACGCCTGAAATTATTACCACTAAGTATTGAAACCATATTTTCTGCCCATTAAAACTCTGCCATCCTAATAACGCCGCAATTGTAACTTTTGTCATAGGCACACAAATCAAACGTCGGCAGCCATTTTATGTGACATTTTCGTCTCGCCCGCAGCAGCTGAAACGACGGTCCCAGCCGAGAGGCGCCCCCCTCCCCCCACCCACCCCCCGTTCCTCTAATAAGTCATGCTGTGTATATTATTAAGCCATTAGATGCTATCAGCTCCTCTTTGAATGACTTAATTACCCAGGAGAGATTATCCTTTGAGTGAGTGAAAAGAGAAACATGCATATTCATTCCGGTGGGATGTCAGCCCCCCCCCCCACCACCCCTTACTCGTCTCCCTCGACCCGCGCGCCACCCTACCGACCTTCCATTGGTCTTTCACCCCCAAATGTTACCCTTCAGTAGCTCCCGCACAACTGACCTCTTGTGCTACTGGCGGGTTTT